AAAAATAGAATTTGATTTGTTTCTGTATCTATTCTAAATAATCACAATCTAAATGATCTTATTAGTGATAGGAGTGGTAGGAAATAAAATATTTCTAGGTATTTCTAGATATTTGATATTTCTAATATCTAGATATTTCTATAAATATCTAGATACTAGTTATCTAGATACTAGATATTTCTATAAATCACTTAGACATCAAATAGTATTATTATTTGGCTTTTATCCTTTAAGTTATTTTACCATTCCATCATGTCTCAAATCTGTTTACCTATAGAATTGTGATGGGATAGATTGTAATACTCTATGCAGATAGATGTTCAATAAATGATCTTGGCATTTTAAGATTTAGAAAATATTTTAAGTACATTTGTATAATAACCATAATAGAATGTTATTGGATCATTATAGCAAAACATCATGGAAGATATGTTCTTTATATGCAGCTTATATTTGGAAAATCAAATAAGAGACTCATCAGTGTTTATAGAAATAGTTGTGGAAAAAGCTAAAGAACTCAACCATTCTGACTTGCAAATTGTGCTTTATTTCCTTTGACACAGTCTTTGCATGATATTTAAGATAAAGTACTTAAGAAAGAGTATTATGTAATTACAGTTGAAAACATTAATAAGGAAAACTTTAATCTTCACAAAATTGTGATTACAGATAATAGACCAAGCTCATAGGGATTTAAAGATTGATTATTAGCTATCCTTCATTTTGACGTGTACAAGGCTAAAAATTTTAGTCAGAGCATATAACAAAATTACTATAAATTAGTTGTAGTTACAAACAATTACATAAAAATAATCTTACTTGGTAATTTGTATTATATTTCTCTTTTCCTGGCCTCTCCTCATTTTTTATCATATTTATATTTATTTTTAACTCAAAACATTATTTGCATGTATTCTTCCTAATGAGAAATCATGGCTTAAGTCTGTGTCCAGGAAATGGTGATAGAGATAGAATTGTCATTCACTGCTTTTGACTTAGAATATTTTAAACTTCATAGCATTACTTTTTAGTTAAATACTTCTGTCCTTTGCAATCTACCTTTTATCACACTAAAATTTGCTTTTTAATGAGAAGAAATGTAGTATCCCAATTATGCAGAGTTTGTTTTCCATGGACTTTTCTAAAAATTATGAGAGGTGCTTTTTCATAATCCAGTGTTTGATTTTCTGAGATCCTGCCTCATTTATGACATGGTGCTTTAATTGTATTGGTGTTTTTAATTTTTTAAATTTTTTTTTCTGGAAAAGCATTAAAAATAGAATTATGTTGAAACTATACAAATATCTTAAGGATATCTGTACAGTATTGTTTTATAAGACCATTTAAAATAACATTATTGAATTTAAGTGCAGATATTATGATGATTTACATGAATAAAACTATTTTCAATGTTGCAGAAATAAAGAGGCTTTGTCACATATTCGAAGACACATTTTGGACTGTTTTAACTTTTAGACCTATATCTCTTGTGTGTAGGTGTTTATATGATTGTCCTGAGGGGAAAAACTGGTTTTACTGGCAGTGTTTTTCCCTCAATGTAACTGAATAAATTGATGATTACTTTCATTGTGATGTTGAAGTAGTTGCATATGTGTGTTACTAGGATTTTGGTTCAAATAGTTCACCAAGTATGAAGTCAGATAAACCAAAAATTACCAATAATAAAATCATCGTCCCACTACACAATGCATAAAAGACAGATTTTTCCAGATTTTGAAAATGAGTTAAAAGCAGTAGAAATGTTTTCTACTTTATTTGAAATATTGGAAATTGGAAATATTTGTCTGCTTTTTACAAGGAATGAAAAATCCACAAGTATCAGTTATTATGATCCTTTAAAATATATTGGCTCTAGAAATTTTTACCATTAATTATAATCTAAACTTGAGGAGAATATTACTGCATATGGAGTCTCTGTCAACTCTTACTATATAATTATATAATCTGTTTTTATGAGTCTCAATAGCTAATCTTTTTCTACTATCATATAAATAAAATTACAAATCATAAAAGAATGCATTGTCCAATTAATCTTTATTTTAGGAAATAAAGTGTAAAATCAATACTTAGGTGAAAAGTTTTTCACTAGATAGGTGTATAGTTAGGATGATGGAAAGGTGGAGATGGATGTATGAGTGTATGGATAGATAGTTATTGATCTACACACATGCAGGAAGGGATGTAGGGTAGATACATAAGAGAGCACCCTCTTAGATTTGTGAGGCATGGAATAGGTAGTATGAATTTTTCTGTAGTCATCTTCTGAAGTTGAAATAGAAATGCATAGTAATGGAATATATTTTATAATATTTAAAGAATGAGTCTCTACAAATACAAAAAAAAAAAAAAAAAAAAAAACCCGTAACACATAATAAAAACCCCGTCAATCAGTGATGTGCATTTTTTCTTCATGATGTATAATAGCTAGTTTTCACTGTTGCTCCTTCTCTGTAGACTTAGCCCAGTTGGCTAAACCAGTTGATGGCTTTAATGTGATAAAACTGAATGTTTCCACCAAGAGCTTGTATCAAGTCACTCAGCCATGATCTTCTTCCACAGGCCTTCGTAATGGACAAAACTCTTATTGTCAGAAACTCACCAGCCCTGACTTCTAGGTTAGAGAGTATGTAGTGTTTTGTTCAGTATATGAGAACATACTGCTAATGGCGAATACATCTTTTGACAAGCATGAAAGGCAAATTTAGGGAGTCTACAAACCCAGTCAAGATTTATTCTGTCAGCTTTCTTGGCTCTAACAATTGTAGAGATGTCCAAAAATGTTTCCTCTCTCTTTAGCTTTTGCTGTCGGTTTCTCTCTCCCTGCCTTCTCTTTACACTTCTAATAATATCAGATTAAATGTTCTCATTGGGTTGGAATTGGATGACAAATATGTGAGGATATAATTAGTGTCATATGCTTTTAATTTTTTAGTAAGATTTTGAATTTGCAAAACTCATGTAATGAAACAGGTTTGAACGTGTCTTAGATGACCAGATAAAATGTGGTCACCTTCAACTAGAAAAATATTCTGAAGAAAATTTTGAAGAGAAAGATGAAAAAAAAGATAAACCATGATAGAAGTGGAGAGAAGAGGTGGCGTTAAACTTTATTAAATATAGATGCAATAAAAATAGAACATTAGGAATTAGATGAACAAAGGGACACACCTGCTGGGGGCATGAAGTGCTTTAAACGCAGCAATAAAAAAAAGTAACTTCTTTGTGACCAACATGCATGACAATTTTCAGTGAATGGTTAATAACTATACCTAACTTTTGGTTTTTGATATTTGTTTGTTTAACCTATTTAACTTTTCTCAAAGTTGTCTCCTGATTTTATTTACACTGTATTCTGATGTTTCAATATGATAATTCAGGCTTTATCTAGAACCAAATATTTGTGTGTTCTACTAAAAGATAATCAACTCTTAAAGTAGTATTATTAAGATAATATAAAAACTGTTTTCCTAATAATTTTAAATATTTAAGTAATATACTTACTGTAAGTATTCACATAGAAATATATCTGCCTTTCCCAAATTGTTTCATATAACTCAGATAACCCACAACTCACACGTTCTGCCTGACAGTAAGAAGTATTCCAAAAAAACCGAGCTCTGGTTCAACTTGTTTGCAAAACATTGCATGTTCTATGTATCTTCCTCTTACAGTTTCACAAAGCCCATTGCATATTAATGGCTCTGAGAGGCCTTAAGTAAAAATAGTAATACTGATGATGCTGTTAAACCAAATCTCTTTCCTAAACAGTTTGAGAAATACCAAAATATGTACAATTTGGATATGGGTTGTATCCAAAATATGGATAACTTTACATTGTTATATCAATTAAGGTACAACCTAATACCATAAAAAGAGTGTCTCCTCACTTCTGCTCCCAAGTAATCATCCTTATATTTGGTAGGGATTTATGTGGTCCTGTGCTAAACTTTATAATTACAAGCTGGAAACTAGATTATTAACAAGCTCTTCCCTATCACTTCCTGATAATAATGAAATTTTCCTATGTTTTTAATCCCATTCATTCCCTTGGTTTTTTCCTTAATCTTTTAAACCCGCTGCTGGAAAATCCCCTTTGAATCTTGACCCAACTCATCACTTTTTGGGAAAAAGTTTTATTCCTGACAGACTACTTTTGCCTACTTTCCAGCTTCACCCTTTAGTTCTCTCCTATTAACGTGCCCTTCCTTCGACATCCAGGCCTTTGGAACTCTTTGGGAAGCTCCTCTTTATTTTTTTTGAGATGGAGTTTTGCTCTTGTTGCCCAGGCTGGAGTGCAATGGCACGATCTTGACTCACCACAACCTGTGCCTCCTGTGTTCAAGTGATTCTCCTGCCTCAGCCTCCCTAGTAGCTGGGATTACAGGCATGTGCCACCATGCCCGGCTAATTTTTTTGAATGTTTTAGTAGAGATGGGGTTTCGCTCTTTTGGCCAGGCTGGTCTTGAACTCCTGACCTCATGACCTGCCCACCTCGGCCTCCCAAAGTGCTGGGGTGCTCTTTATTCAGCTCAATTCCGCAGGTCCATACTGAGGCCTCTGGAAGACTGGAGGAGAGCTGGATAGCTCTTGATCTACTTGACCCTACACATTGAGCTTTCGGGGCTGACTGATGAAGAGGATACAAAATACCAGTGTGTTTAATTTTAGAAACTGTACTACCACCAAATAGAGGCTTCTTAATCCACATGGAAATCAGCCTTTTCTTTGATGTGCAAATAGTGTCCTTGATGGCTTTGCCTAAAATGTCTTTCGGGTCTGTCATCTGCTGGCAGATTTGGTTTTCAACTTCTGGCAATTTTGATTTAGCCACCACTTATTTACATTATTCTAGTACCCCTGGTGTATTCTGCATTCTAGTGTTTGTCACCTCTGTGCCCTTGGGGGATACTGTCTATGCATTTGATTGGTCTCAAAGATAGCTACCTTAATAGTAAGCCGATGCCTGTCTTTGCTCACAGGGGTGCGTCTTGACAGAGTACGTGGAGGTCGGCAGAAGTACAAGCGCAGAATAGATGCGGAGAACAGCCCATACCTGAACCCTCAGCTGGTTCAGCCAGCCAAAAAGCCATGTAAGTACAGCAGATGTGTCTGGCTTCCCAGAACATGAAATCCTCCCAGTTGGCCCTATGTACATCAGCTTTGGCATGCCCATCCCTACTGACTCCAAGGAGACTTCTCTTTGTTGGAGAACAGTGGCTCTATTCCCAAGAATTGTCCGTGAGGAGCAACAGAAACTCAGCTAATTATCATGTTTTTTCTTTTAAAGATACCTGTGGTTTTCTCTCTCCAGCCTTCTTTTTACCTAGTCATTTTGTGGAAGCATAAGCATATTAATGCATAGCTTATACAGTGTGAATTTTACGTTTACTGGTTATCTTTATTTGCAGAGGTACATAAAATGGATCATACTGTGATCATTAGTTCATTGGAGCTGTTAGTTTCAGATTTCACAAGAAAGTGATTTTTGTAGTTTTCACTAACTAAATGAGTTTGACTGCTCAACCTCCCAATGAAAATACATTAGGGGCCTCATTAATTTGAAGCTATAGAAGGTTAACACACTAGCTAGCAATAGATTAAAACAGGAATGGGCACTACTAATAACAAGCATAGGTTGCTGGTTCCATCTGAGATGCCCTTATGGGCGGTATGAATTGCTTTTAAAGAGCTCATGGTTTTATGTGGCCAAGTTGCAATTTGAAAGGATGACTGGTACATTGCTAAAATGCAAGCCCCATTCTTTTTGTCATTAACTAAAAAGAGTTGGACTATAGATTGAGGCAATAACTGTATCCAATTTTCTAAAAATCAGTTAATAGTTGTAGTGCAATAGAGCTAGCATTTTCGGATCTTTATGAATAGGGTTCCTACTGGGCATGGAGGAGTGCTTTGGTGAAAACAGTTCTCACATTTAGCTCTCTTTGTCTAAGAAGACACAACCGGCACTCACCAGAGGAAAATGCATCTATAGCAGTTCTAGGAAAGACATGGGTAATTTTTGATCTGCCTTCAAAGGAAGAGGTGTCTACTTCTAATTCAGATTCTCCAGGAGGGGTCACTGCTGTGCATCATACATATGTGAGCATATGGGAATCTGTTAAATAAATAAAACAGACCCTGAACTGTAAATGAAAGGACATTTTAGCTATGTCAAAGGAAAAACAACCAGTTTTACATAAAATTAAAGCTTAAGTGAACATATGGCATAGTTTCCTTTTGCCTTTCCAAAAAACATTATGTTGATTATACCTTCAATTGTCCAATCTGGCATCTTCTCCTCAGCCTGCATAAGCTGTTTGGCATTCTGCAAATACAATCGAGGACTACATTAAGCAGATTTTGCACATTATAATAAAAAAAACTCTCTGATAATACAATAAAATGCAATAAACACTAATGCTTAATTTCATTAGCGGTTTCGTTTTCCTGAATTCACTAATATGCAGACTGCCCATTTCTCATTTATTTTATACAAATGTTGACTGAAACCATTGATAATTTCCTCTACTGAAAGAAATATGAGTGCCACTCCATTTGTAAGTTGAAAGGATAGAGAAACATCTATAGTTTTCTTCGTAAACCTGAGAAATTGGGAAGTGGCTTGTCAAGTACCTCTAAGAAGATTACAGCAATTTCAGTGAGCTCCATTTGTCTGAGATAAAAAGGACTCCTAATAAATCATTACTCATTATCTAAAGGCCTCTGTGTTAATTTTCCTTAGTCCATCCAATTAGTGTGTTTTTGTAACAAACATTTATAAAACTTAATTTTCAGATCCTGTCAGATAAGTGTCAAGAGACTGTGCTTGGGCTTTTCTGAGAAAGTGGCTGGGGAGATTTCTGGACCCTGACTGATTGTGTACTACAAAGGCCCAAGAATGAAAATTGGGTTCTATTGATTCTAATTAGGGAAACATTAAATAAGATTTACCTAGAAACAGTGCTGCCGGCCATTCCATTTTCTGAATGATGGGAATTTCTAAACTTCAGCCAGATTTCTCTGACCCCTCATGTCAAGTATCCATTGACTCAGATAAAGCCAGTGCTATGCTCCCTGTACTAAAAAAACTGGAATCATGATTACCTTTGGATAGTTTTTCTGCTCTTTACTATTGTATTTGCTTCTAATCCTGAGAATCTAGTGGTTGCTGACAGGTTTTGTTGCATTGTCAGAGCAATGAAAGTTGAAACTTTTCCAAGCATAACTAAAAATACAGGGTGTTGTTTCTGTAGCATATTTAAAAGAATGCCATTTTCTGTAGATCCTGCAAACTGAAAATTAATCTCTATTTAATTCTTAATTCTTTTCTAGAAAACAGTATTGGGGAATATTTCCTCCCAAATCTGCCTTCTCCATTTGATGATGATTGAATATTATGTGTTGTCTATTTGAAATCAGTATAATTAATATGGGAGACATATTTGGAAATTTTTAAATGTTATGTTAGAAAAAGTGCTAACGATAGCTTGGACAAGTCTCATTCTTTCATGAAAGGAGATAAAAAGAATGCTATGTTTAATTTTAAGTTATGTGAAGTCTTTTATATTGGGTTAAAAAGTTAAAAACTTATAGCAAAAGGCAAAGAGTCTGGTAAACACATTGGGAACTTTGGCTGTGTTCACAAGAATCTCATTTGAAGTTCTGGTTTCTACAGTGATAGTACATAGAACATTTAAATATATGGGCTTATTCTTACCCATTTGTATCTCCTCACTTAGAAGAAAGTATAAAGTCTTAAGCTACATGTAGAAATTGAAAATAGGGCCAACAAGAAAAATCATTCTGTTAGCAAGGCTTTACAGCCCCTTCCATAAACTCTCACATGCCCCTGAGCAATAAAACACATTTGATGTGATGCTCTCCGTTTGTCTCTAGTGTTTATTTTGTGAAGGATTTTTAAAGTATATATCACAAATTTCAGACAGATAAATCTGAACCAGAGAATGAACTAAGGACAACAGATGAAAATAGAGGATTAAAAAATTTGACACACAGAAGAGAAAATGACTGTAACATTTAAGTAGGAGTATTTTTATGGAAACATATTAGCTGTATTTGGAAGGTTGGCTAGATGTGTGGGGAGTGGGAGAAAGACGAAATTCCTATTTAATGCATCGCACGGAGATAGAGTTATATAGTCAGTAATTCACCAAGGCAGAAGGGCTGTGACCTTTGCTCTTCTTTAAAGGAATTAAGACAATTAATGACTTTCATGCCCATTATGACTATGGGCATTAGTAGTTCTTTGCCTCCTGCATTATGGTCTATATTTCAATGGTGTACTGGGGGTTTTATTGTAAGCTGTTTATACCATTTAATCTACTTCCCCAAATCCTACTTAAAAATCAAAGCACAAACTCAGAAAGCATCTAACTTCTCTTATCTGTTTGCTATAAAAATTTTCACTACAGGACAGATGCTTCATTCCAGCAAAAGCAGGTAGAGCAAAGAAAAAAAAAATGACTACATTCTATCATGACTGCAGTGGCTTATGTCTGGCTATGAGTTTTCCTGAACACTGTTTAATATATACATCTCAGCCATAATTGGAATATTTAAGGTTTATTATAGGCAATTTGGATTGTTTTTCAAAACACAAAATACTCTAGGGTTTATAAAAGAGGGATGATACTGCTAGTGATCTTGTAGTGCTCTGGTCTGATCCTACAGATAACAAGATTGTCTCACATTTGTTGGTGGCTGAACCGGAGAAGATCTATGCCATGCCTGACCCGACTGTCCCCGACAGTGACATTAAAGCCCTCACTACACTGTGTGACTTGGCGGACCGCGAGTTGGTGGTTATCATTGGATGGGCGAAGCATATTCCAGGTACATTTTCTAAAAAGAAAAAGAAAAGTTTGCAATTAATTCCCTAGGTTATGTATGTAGATTTGGGCAAATTCAAATTTTTCTCATTTGGACTTAAAAAAAATCTTAATTTTTAATCATAATTTAGAGCTTTGCATATCCTAATAGAATCCTTAAACTTTATCTTAGTTCTATTGGTACCACCTTGAGTTCGGGTTAGTTTTTGATATCTACCGGTACTACTGCCAGTGTAAGTTAACGAGATGATAAATTAAAAAAAAATTCTTTATCCTTTGTTAACATTCTTACCTTTTTCCTAGAAAATACTTTTCCTTTTCACTTTAAAAAGTGTTTCTGTCAGAGGTAGTCTAATGTACTATTTTCTCAACGAGGAATCACTAGTTTTGCTCATAGTGGCTAGTTATATTCAATTTCTAGTCATAGTCACAAGCTTTGCTTCAGTTTACTATTAGATATTTATCTTAACTGTACAGATAAATTGTGAAAATAAATATTAAATGCACATGGTAACTTTTCCTATGTGGTAAAGTTAGCATTTAAAAATATTTCTCTTCTTTTTTTTCTTGACTCATGTTGTAATATGAATAAATATATATATGCTAATAAGTTTTTAGAATCTAAGTATTCTACTTGAATTTTTTTTTGTTTGGTCTTTAATTTTCAAATAGTTTATAAACAAATTTTTGAATGATGAGCAATGTTTTTCTGGTACAGTTAACTTATTTCTGTCTCCTTAAACTAGTTTGTCTTTATGCTTTGAATGCTACAGTAATTTCTTTAATCAAATTGATGGAAGTCCCTTTCCCAGCCCACACTGAAACCAATTTATTGGTCATGATACGCCAGCTATGTTGCTAACAGTCGTAACGAACTGTCAGGCGATACCGCAGTGAAGCTAATTTGAAGTCATTAGGTGTGCAGCGTTCAGGCGACAATTTGTTACAGTGGTTAGGAACACAGCTGACATTTCTGAATGGCTTTGTTCGTTGCAGTTCTAGATGAGGCCAAGCAAATTGTAAACTAATTTAAACATCACTCTGTATTATACCAGCTACTTTGTCTTACACTGTTTCCTAATAAAAACCCCCAAATTAAGTCAAAACTACTTAAATAGGTGAGCTTGTATATTCTTTAGAAGACACCTACCCAAGGATTACTACATCTAAAGGAAGAATAAGAATTTGATCATGTGGATATTTGATATTGCAGTTGAATTATAATCACATCTATATGACTTTTAGAAAAATAAAAAGGATTTATTACAAGATATAAAACAATGGTTGACTATGGCAGTGGGAACAGCCAGAATGTGCTTCAACAGTATATGAAAACGTATCTGTAAGGAAAGTGTTAGTGAAGGGTTTGAGAGACCAAAGAAACAAGACTAATGTTTGTTGAAGTGTCCATACTTTTTTAGATAATTGATATACATCATTTATGTTAATATATTATTATATAATATTAAATATCATTATTTTCACCCAGGGTTTCTCAGCCTTGGCACTATTGATATTTGGGACAAGATAATTCTTTGTCATGAGGGGCTGCCCTGCTCATTATAGGAGGTTTAGCGGCACCCATGGCCTCTACCCACTAGATGCCAGTAGCACCCCTGAATTGTGAGAAACAAAAATGTCTTCATACACTGCCAAATGTCCTCCAGGACGTGACGCGCACCAGCCTGACCCTCCTCCCCCAAATTGAAAGCCATCGTTCTAACCCAGGAGTCAGGTATTATTATTTTCGATACAAAGATAGGGAGATTTGAGGCAGAGAGAGGTAAAAACAGCAGCACAAGTTCACAGATGTATCCAGTACCTTCGGCATGGCCTCCTGGAGGAGAATCAAGATATTTCAGTCCCTTGTTGATGGCATTTAACTATTTCAAAATGATAATGATGATAGTATTGTTATCAACAACAGCATGAAAAGCTATGTCACTGTGGTTCCACACTACCCATTATTTCAGAGCCTTCTGCTCAAGTTCTCCCTGATCTGTAAAGCCAATACTTTGATATCAGTTTGATCAAGCATAATAAAGATCAATAAAAGTCAACAATTTCTTTTGAACTTTCTAGTAAGGAAAGTCAGTGATAAATTTGTAGGTCCGACTGTGCATCCAAGTAGAAATGTCAGCTTACAAAGGGACTTGTCGCAGTAAAGGGGCTCCAGTGACTTTAGTAAAGATAGCAACTTTAAATAGCTATGAGTAACACCATTTGCAGTGGTGGAAACAATTACTATACGATTATGGGTTCGGTCTTAAGCTGAGGCTTAGAATTGGTGGGGACTGACGTTATTCTCTCTCTATAGCAAATGCCAGAAGAGTTCACTGTGGAGTGATGATTCACAGCTCTGATTTTCATGATACCCTGAGGGTGTTTTAAATGATTGCGAGGAATATCTTGGCTTTTCAGAAAGAGATTAGCAAAACAAGAGTTAATAGAAATAAAAAAAAAAATTAACAATACCTATGCCATACAGTGCTTGAGGTAGAAGGAGAGGGTGTTCCGGTATCAAAGTGCACCACTGCCTTCCCTTGGGTTCGGGAGGTTGGTCGTTAGAGGACCACACAGCCATGTGGACTGAGAGGCAGGGAGGTAAAGGCATGGAGAAAGTAAAGATTAAAGTCACATTTCGGCCTCGATAAAAGTGAAATCGTGTTCTTGATAACATGAGCCAGTCCTGATAACTGGGGTCATAGCCAGAATTAAAGCCAAATCAGAACTGAAATGCCATCGGTTTCGGTCTTAACTTTAAAACTCTTTGTTTTTGTAAAGCTTATGTTAAAGTGAAGTCATTTTTTTAATACACTAAAATTCAAGCCCCTGTTATCTTTATGCTCTTCTCAGTTTCTATAATTATACCCATATATATATATATTTAAAAGTTTAGCATCTAAAATGAGTAGCTTTTCTGTGCTGCTTCTAATGTACTTTTATACACTTTCTTTTGCTACATAAAAAAGTGACGAATACAACAAAAGAAAATATTGAAAATACATATGGAAGGGGTTTTATCAGTAAATAGAATTAGTTGACTTACATTAATAAATCATATAAATGGGAAAGTGTGTTGTTATGAAACATGACCATACTTTATCTAAAGAAGAGAAAAGATCACAAGGGCTTTAGAAAATGCTTGACTTTAGTTGGAGGAGCATAAGGGCACAAGAACAGATGATGGTGCCCTAATAGCCCTTTTTAAGAATGACAGGGCCCAGCCATTAGCATCCTTTTATATCCTTGGAAATTGCTCATGCCTCGCTTTTCTGGTTCCTATCTGCCTGACTCTTTTTTATTTCTCTTTCAATTTCGTCCGCGCTCGGATAAGCGCATGCTAACACAATATGATTGAGCTGTAAAATGGAACGCTGTCGCCTCTAATCTCTTTTATGTAGATACGGAGGTACTGCACACTCCACTTCATTCTCTCTCCATTGTTGGCCTTTTTTAGAATGGGTTGCCAAGTAATGGAGGCTCCGTCAAATATTGGAGCTAGGTTTCACAGGGTGTGATAAGACGATTATCAGCCCAACATTCAGATCTGTTATTGTTCTTTTTGGTTGATTAAAATATTATTATGTACTATAACTTTGTTGGCAAAATGCAGAATGTGCTTAGTCAGATGATGCTTTAAAAAGCATAACCCGTATTAGCTGACCTATATAAGTGGCTTAAATACATGTATGTATCTTGCCGGACAACTTAGTTTAAAAGAACAAACTGGTATTTTAACAATTAAATGAATGAATGCATTTTAGAAAAAATTGTCCTTGTTTAATATGGCACATTTTCAGGTCTGCTTATTTTTAACATGACCAATTAAATAATTACCTACTGAAGAAGGGAGGACTTTGCTCTGTTGCATTTTTCAAATGATACCTATTGTAATGATATCAAATGGAGAACTATAATTTTTCTTCATATTAACTGGAGGCAGGAGATATTAAGCTCTAAAAAAATTACAGGAAGAAGATGATATAACAAAATGGTCTAAGTATATGTATTCATATAAGAAGCAAAAATCTATATCACATAAACCAATATTTATTATTTGCCCTGAAACATTTTTTAAATAAAAAGTTTAGGAGAACATATCAAAAATCACTTATTGGCTTCACTTTTTATAGTTTTCTCAGAAGCATTTAGACTTTTCTAGCAATTACAGGAATCTGTAACGGACATGGGTAAACTGTTTCTATGTTTAGGGTATAAGCTTCCAAAAAGAATGTGTAAATATTTACTGTTAAAGATACTGCTTAAAGATATACTATTGTTCTAATAAATTTTAGACCAATTTTTAAGATTATATTATCCACCAACCAAAATTATGGAGATTTCATTTTTAAAATACTCATTACTGGATATTGATGGGTAAAATAGTTATCTTAAAATGGTAGCACCATTAAGTGATTAGGATACATGCAAAAGCACAATAAAATATGGCAGAAATAATTTAAGGTTATGTTTCCATTTATAATGTAAACTGTTTCTGTGTGTATATGTGTGTGATTAAAGTTTGATGTGCAGGAAACAGGACATGGTTCACTAAGGGTGAGTTATACCATATGATAGTAACACCTTATACTCTGTTTTGGATCTGTATCATTGGCACTTGAGAAATGTATATTGATTAGTTGACTAAAAATAGGCATAACACAAAACTCTCAATTGACTCTGAGTTTCCACCCTCTACTCCATGCCATAACTCAATTCACATAGACTTAGAATATTTCAACTTTGCTATGAATGAAGTAAAGTACTTGCAGCCTCTTTTTTCAGGATTAACTTTTCTTTTGCCTATGTAACCTACTGATTTTAGAGCTGTGAGGTAGTTAAGTCTTTTAGTTAAGTGGAAGAAAGTTAAATATAAGACCCAAAACCTTGGCACTTAATAAGACTGTTTAAATTGCAAGAATATTCAATTGTGGGCTAGGCACAGTGGCTCACACCTGCAATCCCAGCACTTTGGGAGGCCAAGGTGGGCGGCTCACCTGA